GTTGCCACAGTGTTCTTAGGTTTGAAAGCCTTTACCCAAATGTACCCTGGCAATTCTCAGTCCATGGCAATATCAAACTCAGTTCATTGTGGACAGTGACACTGTGGCTCTCTTCCACAGCATGTCTTTTATCCTGTCTTCCTTCTCCCACCTCAACCGGTTGCGGCAGATGGCCCCGCCCTTCCATGAGCCTGGTTCTGCTGGAGGTTTCTTCCTGTTAAAAGGGAGTTTTTCCCTCCCACTGTCGCCAAAGTGCTTGCTCATAGGGGGACATATGATTGTTGGGTTTTTCTCTGTATGTATTATTCTAGGGTCTAACTTACAATATAAAGCGCCTTTAGGTGACTGTTGTTATGAGTTGGCGCTATATAAAATCAATTGAATTGAATTGACACTGGCGTTCCAGCAGTTTACACTTATTCCTGAACATCTGAGGATGACAGTTTGAGTCTTCTTCCAGACTTTGGAAAAGTGGTGTGACATGAATAAACTCTTGATCTTGGACTCTGCAGTTGTTCAGAAATGGCTCCAAGAAACCTTCCCAGCTTATGTAAATCTACAGTTCCTTTGACTTTCCCATTATTCTGAATATTGGTCAGTACAATGATGAGTGCTGTCAAAAACAATCTACCAGATGTAGTCAATCACAATCACTGAAGAAGTACACTGTGCATGTAAACATTTGACCACAACTGTATTTTTGGTGCCCTCCTAAGAGGTTTTGGCTTTCCACCGAAGAAAACCCATGAGGACTGTGCTAAAAACATTTTATTTTATTTTTTTTTTAGTAGGGGTTAATTTTTCTTTGGCTTAAATACAGTTTTCTGTAAAACATTGCCAAAAACAACAGGAAACTGCACAGACTTGTCCTTAGTAAGGTAATGCAGACTGTTTGCCTGAACTGTGTGTGGGCTAGTTTTGCTTTGGGGCATTGAACCTTCGATAGTCAAAGGAAAAAAACATGTTGACAAAATAGTTAAATGGAGAAAAGGAGGTGTAATATAAACACTGGAGGAACTGAATGATCCTTTAAACCCATCAGAAAGGACGTGAACCTCTGGACCACGAACATGTGGAACGTCCCATGCTCGTGTTTATGCACTGTTCTTTTTTCCCTCTCCTCCAGCTGTCCCACAAACCCAGTAAGTGCTCTCCAGCTCAGATCCGCCGTCTGGCCTCTCAGGTGGACGGCACTCGCCTGTGGGAGGCTCACCTGCGGCCCATCCTGATAGAGCGCCTCCCAGGCACGCAGGGCAGCCTGTCTGTACAGCAGGTGGGTGTAAATATTTATAGCTTCCTCACTTTTACACATTCCCCCCTCATCATTAACTCCCTGCTCCACTTCAGCACATCACCTCCACCCTGTCCTCGCTGTCTGCTGGCTGGTCCATAGACCTGGACTCGTTCCAGTCCCCTACGCCTCGAGGCCAGGTCACTTTCACCAACGTCGTGGCCACTCTGGACCCTTCGGCACCTCGACGGCTGCTCCTGGCCTGCCACTATGACTCCAAGGTGCTGCCTCCAGACCCGCGAGCCCCGGAGAAGGTGTTCCTGGGGGCCAGCGATTCTGCAGTGCCCTGCGCTATGATCCTGGAACTCGCCACCTCTCTGGATGCTCAGCTTAGGTCATTCAAACAGCAGGTGGGTTTTGTGTTGGCTGAATTTAAGCAACAGACAAAGCAGATGCTGACAGATGTGGTTCCCGCTCACGATGAAAAGTAAAGGGCTGAGATGCTGACGAGAGTCTTTCTTATTGTGTTGTTTCATCCCTCTGCTTCTGAGGCCGCAGTACTGGGGAGAAAATGCTGACTCGAGCACTATCTCTCCAGAGGGCTGTGATTTATGTAGTTACCGTAGAAACACACACTGCAACAGCACTGCAGAAAGAGAAACTCAAGCCCTGCTTTTTTTTTCCCCCTCACAAATTTGATTACCTCTGCTTTCTATGTTTTTCCTCTCAGAAACTTCCCGTAACTCTCCAGCTTGTGTTTTTCGACGGCGAGGAGTCATTTGAAGAATGGACCGCCACCGACTCACTGTACGGCTCGCGCCACCTGGCCGAGCGCATGGCCAACACGCCCCACCCGGCAGCCTCCTCGCACGCCAGCATGCTTCAGGCACTGGTGAGGAAGCTGCAAGCAGAAATATGTTTCCTCTGTGGTCACACTTACTTCCTGAACCAGACGTGCTCCACGCTGTCCTTCAGTTTGCACAGCTTGACTCCAGCCACGCTTTGGTCAGTCAAATCTGAAAAAGTTTCCACCTCAGACTCAGCTTCATACTTACATCTACAGGCTCTTAAGGAGAATAATGAGCCTTTTTAAGTCAGTAAATATCCATAAAATGAAGGTAAAATGTGCATAAACTCATTTAAAAAACATTATTGCACACAAAGCTCATGAGAAAGGATTATGAGAAGGTCAGGTGAGAGGGTCATGGAGTGACCCTTTGACTTACATTAACATTTAAATTACTCTGATTAAGACAAATGCCAGCTCCCGTCTCTCTAACTTCATCTCTGCAGGATCTCTTCGTGCTGCTCGACCTACTCGGTGGTCCCGATCCGCTGATTGCAAATCACTTCGATAACACTGCACGCTGGTTTGACCGCCTGATTGCTGCAGGTAAGCGTCCGCCGTAACTCCTCCACCAATGCTTGAATCACTCCTGAACACTTGTAGACCCGATCTCTGCCTCCTCCTCCACCTTCAGAAAAGCGGCTCCATCGACAGGGTCTCCTGACGTCTCACCCCTCAGAGCAGACCTACTTCAGGAAGGATGTGTATCTCGGACCCGTGCAGGACGACCACATCCCCTTCCTTCACAAGGGTAGGTGGGAACCAGGAGTGTAGCCTGTATACCCACCCCCTGACCCCTGCAGCTGGAGGTCATCCCTCAGAGTTATTATAGTCGAAGCAAGCCACAAGACACTTCGATTAGGACTGCAGCAGCGATGCTTTCCATGAACAAAGACACTGGCAGTCCTGTACTGCTGTATTTGAATGTTTCTTTGCCTCGTTCAGATTTTTGTCTTTTGAGCAGTAATTTATAGCACACCGAACCAGCTGCTTCCTCTTTCTGTTAAGCAGAACTTCTTGGGTTTTTTTTTTTAAAAACTGGTTAAAATTGGACTTTTCTTGTTCTTGGATCCTCGCTCAGTAATACAGCTTAGCAGGATAACATGCTGCTGCCACTAAACCCAGGTGGAATTAAGACTAGCCTCAGTTCTGGTGCAGCCCGGCAGCGTTAACGTTTTCCTCTGGGATGTATGCGAAGGGTCGACTCGGGTCCCTAAATTTTTAGACAGTTAACACAAGGCTCTGTGCAGATGTGTGCATGCTCTCAACATCTGTGTGACTGTGCAGACTTGCATACCTCAGGCCAGAAGAAAGCAATAACAAATATTCAGTAACAAGAATTAATGTAGATTTAGATTTTTTTGGGGGGGGGGTTGGGCTTGTAATTACAGTCAATCCGCAAGGGTTAAAATTTAAGAAGTTCAAAACAGGTATTGAACCTTTTAAGCTCAGTACTGTAGCACATGTCTGCCTCCAGGGATTTATCTCCTTAAAGAACAGAAGTCACTTTCTTTAACCCATGCTCAGTCATCATACCTGCCTTCATGTCTCTGTACAGGCGTCCCCGTGCTGCATGTCATCGCCACTCCCTTCCCACAGTTCTGGCACACACTGGAGGACACGGAGGAGAACATGCACCGCCCGACGGTGGAGAACCTGACGAAGGTCATGGCTGTGTTTGTGGCGGAGTACCTGGGCCTCTGAGCGCTGAACATAGATAGCAACAGTCCGAACAGGACTGGCGATAAACAGCGACGTGAGGAAGAGGAGAGCCTGGTGAAATTAAATAAACTGGAATCTGAACTTTACCAAAGACGTGTATCTGCTGGGCAGTCCTCGGGTTCACGTGGACAACGAATTGGACACAGCTGAGCAAAGTGTGTGAAGTGGATGGTTAAAACTTGATTACTAATACACATGCTGGGGAGCATCATACCTGAGAAGCAGCTGGGAAATGTGTCTGTGACTCTATATTAATGTTTTTGTTCTGTTCCTGTGAAAGAAAAAAAGCCTTATTAGCCTTATTGATGATTTAGCCTGTTAATAAGAGATGGAGATGCTCTTCGTCTTCTTGAGAGGGACCTGTTGTGCTCGTTTTCAGCTCCGAGATTTTTCTCTCAGACTCTGCTCAAGTAGTTTTGCATGATTTACTGATCACGTGCAGCCTGAAACAAGCCTCTCCTTTTAAACTGAGCTCATTTTGATTGGCTGCCCATCATAAATAATAGAATATCTGCTCTCAGTGACATCATTCAGAGCCAAGTGTAGAAAAAAAACTGTGAAAAAGCGCATTTAGAGCACTCTCAAGCTTGAGCTTTGGCCATATGTAATAGGAGCATCCACAACTGTAGCCGTTTATATATACATATGAAAGGAAACCAGCAAAAGCACGACGGGTCCCCCTTTAAGAACGACCTGTGACGAGCGCTGCTGCTGAGGACGCTTTTCGTAGTTTATCTGTGAGTACCTTCTCCTGACTTTACCTTCACATCAGTGAAGATCCTCATGGCCTTGGCTGTTATGAAGTGCCAGCAAGATGAAAATCATGAAGATGAAGATGTTACTATGGTAAAAGATCATACCGCAGTGATTGTGAAATTATTTTATTCAGGTTCTCTTACAGTTTCAAGACATTTCAGGAAGTCGTAAACACTGAAAACGCTGTCTCCTGGTTCAGTGTGTAACCTTTGGGTATGATACATGTGGGTGCAGTTTACCAGCATGTACCCTTTAATAAAAATAATTCCCTGATCGTTATAAATGTTTTGATTTCATCTGTGAATGCAGTGTGGAGATGCACCTTTATGCCACACCTGTGATCCAGTCTGTTGGCTTTAATCTCCAGACGTCTGATGTCTGTCTTGTGTGATATTCTGTAAACGTTTAAGTCTCTGTAGGGGATCTGCTAGGTCTTGTTTTGGTAATAAACTTTCAATGACAACAGAAATTATGATGATCTATCAACCACTGGACAGCTTAAACATCTTGATGCCCTCCACATGTGTGGTGCAGTGGAGGAGGCAGTGGATGGAAAAGGGGTGGAGGTGGTTCGCTGCAGCACTGGGGACTGCCTGGAGGTGAAAGGTCGTTGTCAGAGGATGGGTAGGCTTGTTCTGAAGGTCCTCGAGAGCCTGTCTGAAAACTGAAGGATCATGAGATTTAGAAAAAAAGTACAGATTAATGTCTTACTGTAGCCACAAGGTGGTGCTATTATGCAAAATTCAACGCGTGCGCCACAGTGATAAATTCTATTTACGGCATGCCAGATTAAAGTCTCCTTAAAGCGTTTTGTAGAAAGTACAACCCAGCTAAATGCTTCGCTTCACATAGATGTTTTTTTTTCTTCTAGTTTTAACAGGGGAAAAAATCGTTCAGCCATTCGCTTGTTTTTTTCTCACAACGTTGACTCGAACTTTCAGAATTATCATCACTATGTGCATGAAATGCATATTAACTAAAATACCAGTTTCTTTAAACTGATATGTACTGCTTATGTAATTTAGTTTGGTGATAGAAAAAAAAGCTACTGGAAAAAAGGAGGAACTATTTTATGCCCGACTATAAGGTAAGAGAATCGAGTTAGCTTATGGTGGCAATGTTTTAAAATCACTCGGCGATTTTTTTAAAAATCGGTTTCTTAACGAAAAGTATAAAATCAATGATTTCTGTAAAGACCCTATTCTATTTTAAGTTAAAGGTATGAGTAGGTGATTTTTTTTTAGTCATTAATTTAAATCATTACAGAAAGCACAAATCCCGATTTTTATTGCTTAATGCTAAACGCCAACGGTTTGTTTATTCAGTGTATCCATTCGCTTTCTGTGGGCCACTGATGGCGCCTTCCATTAGCAGTCGCAATTTCCCTGTTCCCAGTCAGACGTTTCACCTGCACATACACTCAAGTCGGACGTCCAATTTGACAAATCGGAGAAACCCCAAACTACGATTTAGCAATCCAGGATGGCAGCAGTGCGCTTAAACATAAGTAAAACTGCGTTGTCTTTACTGTTTTTCGTACGTCGCTCCCAGCTCCGACTTTCGAGGTAACTAGACGCGTTCATCACTTTTTATTATCAGTATTAGTTTACATGGGGGTTCTTTGAATGATAAGAGGACAGCAGTTCAGCTTACAGCGACCTGGTGCCCTTCACTGACCCGGTAAACTCCGCTATGCGGTCCCTCTGCCGGCGGTTCTTGAACCAGTTGCTGACCTGGATGGCGGTGAGGCCGGTGGCTGCTGCTAGCTCCCGCTTTTCTCGGGTGGAGGGATACGGCTTACGGTGGTACCACTCCCTGAGGATACTCCGAGATTTTTCCTGTTTGCAGTTAAATAAAATAAATAGTGAAATCTGGACATTATTATCAGAAGATATGTGAGTGATCCAGAAACTGTAATAGCATCTCTTATTAGCTGACGGGCCATGTGCATCTCTGTGTCAGGTCTTTTTCCTATTTCTTACATACACGACTTTTAGATACCTTCCTTCTACTGAGATTTGTTTTTGTCTCCGCATTTTCAGTTTCCTCATTTTTAAAGCACACATTGCACACCCTGCTGAGCTAAACCTTTTGACTAATTGCAAAAAAAACCCAAACCTTTTATGCCTGTCAAACTATTATCTTTGGCATTTCTCATAGACTGAACTAGATTGAAGTGCCTAAAGATACCCCTTACATGTAGACAGCACTGGTCCATCCTTGAGTTAGGTCAGTGTTAACTGGTTCCAAATAACTAACCATCCATTCTCTTCCACTTATCCTTGTCAGGGTAGCAGGAGGGCTGGAGCCTATCCCAGCTATCACAGAACAAGAGGCAGTTCACCCTGGACAATTTGCCTAACCCCACTAACTGCATGTCTTTGGACTATGGGAGGAAATCGGAGTACCCGGAGAGATGTTCAATCTCTTCTTGCTGTCAGGCAACAGTGCTAACCACCACGCCACCGTGCCGCCTTCTGAATAACTAACGAACACATTTTTTTAAAAAACAAAACCCATTCCTCTGAAAATATTTTTAATCCTTGTAGCTGACCTAAGTGAAACAGCAGCCAGTGTCCAAAGAAAGACTTTGAAAAAGCTTCAGAAAACCTGAAGAACTATTAGTCAAGACCACTTTAAAAATTACAAGTTCTACTCCTTAGAAGCAAAATATAAAGAAATTAGGGTGGCTCGAGATTTGCATAGCACTGTATTTTAAGCCGAAATACAATGGCATAGATGCAGCATGCTCCATAGAAATGCTTAAATTAAGTATGTGAGTAAAATACCAAGTTACATCCCACTGGTCCTATAATGCTCTGAACCAATAGTTTAAGATTAATAATACTCTTTACTCACCAAAGCAGGGTGGGACAGTTTATATTTACATATAATTAGATTCATTACTATAAAAATACTTGAAAGATAATGTTTTATGCAAAGCACAAAAATATAAATTATGTATTTATACTATAGAGGTCACATACTGTATTAAAGATGCAGTATTCCTCAGATGTGATAGTACACGACTTGTACATAGTAGTATTAGTAGCCCACAAGTACACTATGCTCCACTTCAATCAGTGCCAGTACACTACTTGATTAAATGCAACTCACACTTCAGTTACTTAAAAACATGCAGTTTTAGTGTTTGCCTACCTTGAAGCAGTAACTGGTCTCCTCTCCGTCCCAGATGGTGTTTGGTAGAGGAAATTTTCTCCTCACGCGGTACTTCCCCACAGCTCCCAGGGGTCGGCCCCTCTGCCTCTCCGCTTCTATGTAGTGGGCTTGCAGCCAGAGCTGCTGCAGGAGCGGGTGGCTGCGTGCAGAGAAGGGGAAGCCCTCCAGCAGGGTGTAGAGGTCTGAGAAGCGCCCTTGGTGAAAGGCCACCGCGGCTTTGGCTTTTAGCACGCTCTCAAGCTCCCCGGGGCACGAGGAGGAGGAAGCAGGAGGAAGAGTGCGGAGGAAGCTGGCGAGACGATCTATGCAGCCGCTCTGCAGCAGGACCTCGCACACGCAGGTGACCTGCTCTGCTGTGAAGATCATAGCTGCATGGACGGGTCCTGAGGCGCAAGGTGAAAATATCTTCTCAGGAGAGCGCCAAAGCCTTCCCTCTATGCCCTTGTGTGTGTGGATGAACAAAAACTAAGTAAACTGCATGTGTGTGTAGCATTACTCATCATACCCCGGCACAGGTAACCTGAGACCATCAGGGCTATCATAACACACCATGCATCCCCTCCTTCTCTTGTACAAACACATGCATGCACAAGCTCACACACATTTTGGTCTGACTTGCACGCAGAGTCAGAGCACGATGGTTTCTCAGTAAAAGAACACATTTGAATAAAATTTTCTTGCCAAATTAGAAGCAAAGGTTGTCACCCCCCCTCACTCGCAATAATCTACAGTTCCAAAGTGTGGCGCATGAGGACATCCACAATAATCACAGTCTTTTCTGTAAATGTAGTTTATTACAGTATCATGTAATATAAAAAATAGAATGCATTTGAGTACAAAAATGAGAAGACGAGGCACAAATGATCCCTTTGAAAACTCGGAAACAAAAACAAAGCAAAAACACACGATATCTTTGGTTAAGTCTGGAGTCATGAATGTTACACGTCAGGCTGGAGAGTGAAAACCAATCCAGGAACGTGTGCGTAAGCCATGCAGGCTTTAATGTCAACATACTTTGGTAAGAAATGGCTAATATGAACAAACACAATGAAAACATTTTCCTTTACCCCCCCCCCCAAACAAATTTAAACACTCAGCTAAATTCAGGTTGATTTGTCCAAGCTAATGTCCTGGAAGCTGAGCTTGGAAAACCTTACAGCGTGAATTGATAATGAACATTTCCTATCCACAGCTTCTCCTCGAGGACTGTTTTAAAAACTACTAACTGATTGATGCATGCCTTAAATAGATTAAATGAGACCAACAAACACACACACATTAATGTAACTATACGTGTTTTTCTGATTTTTTTTTTGTACCATAATTGGCCAAAGGTTTGACCGCTTACCTGTGTTATGACAACAGAAAGGTCACACAGCTTTGATCGAGCTGTACTCAAAAATTTAACAATATCTCAAAAACACGAACCACAACTTCCTGATTAATCTTCTTGGCTCCTTATCTTTCTGTGTCACTCTTACTAAGAGACTGTGAAATGAGTCCGACCGCTGTCATAACACCGTGGCAGCGCAGCGTAAACAATATGTGAATGAAATGTGCAAAATATACAACAACAACAAAATAAAAAAACACAACTGAGCTATGACCACACAACCAAAAAAAGAAAAGACACGTTTGTGTATCACTGAACAAACTCATTCATAAACGTAGACACAAAAGAATCCATATGAAGTGAATCCAGATATTTGGTTGAGTACATAGCAAATATATATAGCACGTTTTAGTCAGAACATCAATAACATCAAACGTGTGAGCTTTAAAATAAGGCACTTATAAGTATTAACATGCTGAGATGTTAACAGGAAACATCGCAACATGTTTTAGTGTAATGCTCTGCTGTGCTTCCTTTTAAAAGCTCAGCACAGCTTCTTTTTATCTCCCAAGAGTACTGGCTTTAAAAAAATTACACTCAGCCACTGTGCGACATAGTGTCTTATGAAGAACTAAACATGCATTGCATAGAGTATAAACCCTTTTATTTCCTCCTGTTCTATATATAGGTTTGTTTGTTTTTTTAAACAAAGGTCAGGCAGTGCTGAATCCTGGAAACTGCAGACAGTTCAATGATAAAAACAACACTACTAACGTCTGGTAATAAAATACTGTCATATAGCCCTTTCAGCTATGATCTATGTTTGTGTAGATTATAATATTCGCTATATTCCTGGTCAAACTCGTTGCAACTGGGCAACAGATTCAGCCATGCTTGCCCTTAATCACCGACTGTGTTCATAACTGACAGAACTGGTGGTGTCGATGCTTGGTGGTCAGATGTTCGGAGGGTGACATCCTGCAGGGTGGGATGAGAATCCGAACCCCTAAGTTAAAAATAAAAGTCTCCACTGTGGGTTTAGGGTGAGTTTGTGTTGTTGCTACAAGTAGCTACTCCCTTATTCACTAGGGATTGGGAAGATTTTTTATGCTGGATGCTCTTCCTGACGCAACCCCGAAAGGGATTTGGGTCTCCACCCAGAATCGAGGATCGTTTATTTGTTAGGTGAACCTGTTACACATGTAGGAGTTAAATTATCCTGACGAAAGTGTGGAAGAGGACTGGTGGATGGTGAAAATATGGTGGACTGGTGTGGCGCGAGCAGTTAGGCAGATGATCCAGTTGTTTTGAAGAGAGGTGAGTCCGACTGTTCTGTACACTCCTACTCTACACTGTGAGGAATTAAATATTAGGGATACTTGGGGTGGTAACTGGAAGAATAAGACCATGAGATGCAAGTCAGATTCTTCAAAGTTGGAGACAAAGTGAGAAGGAGCTCAGAGGAGAGCCGCTGCCCTTCTGCTTTAAAAAGAACCAGCTGAAGTGGTTCAGGGATCCGACCAGGACGACTCCACGACTGATCGCTGGAAACAGTGTGCTGTTGTTGCTGGCTTGGGAATGTCTTGGTTTCCTCCTGGAAGAACTGAAGTTGATAGCTGCTTAGGCTACTTTCTACTATGACCTGGTCCAGGATGAGTGGGAGATGATGGATGAAGGGATATTGCTGGAGTGTTGGCAGAATATATTCAGGCTGAATTCAGGACAGGGAGGGAACCATTTAAAGATTTTTCCCTTTTGAACAGTGTATCACTGTTGTGGATCTATATCAGAAACCCAGACGTAGTAGAGCTGAGTTAGTCCACAAAACCACAAGAAGGATCCATGACCCCTGACCCCATGACTCACAAGTCTTGGTCTAACATCAAGACTTGTGAGTCAAGCAGATTAATCCTTAAATCATCTGTGCGGATCTGATCTTTAAAAAAAAAAAAAAAAAAAAAAAGTAAGGCACATACCGATTTTAGTAAAAAATAAAATAAAAAAAATCTTAATCCAAACTGAGAGGAGTAATTGAACCAGCAGGTGAATAATCCCATTCATAATAAAGAGAGCTGGAAAATTTCCAGCTAGCACCACAATGGCATCTGGTCTACTGAGTGAGAATTGCTGCTGTAGGTTATAAAAAAAATATGGTGATCTTATATGATGCATGATGTGGGATAAAAATGTTTCAAGTCATCCAAACAAGACAAACAGATCTGTGGTGTTGAACCAGTTTTAAAAACTATAAGCCCAGCTCGTCATCCACAGGGACAGACTGAAGCTGAGTAAGGATTTTTGATTCTCCATCGATTTCCTCTGGATTCCCAAGTGGCGAGCTGGCTTCCACATCCTGCTCTGGAGAGGGGCTGCCCAGGAGCAGCGACTCCCCACCAGGTAGACCCAACAAGGCTGGGTCCACAGGTAGGTCCCCCTTGGTGCGGACGTCAAACAGAGTTAAACTGGCTGAAGTGGAGAGGGGCACTGGGCTCCACACTGGCTGGGGCATTTGGCTATTTGGTGTCACTCCAGTGTACATGGGGCTGAGCGTGAGCATGCTTTCTGGAGTCAGAGCATTCTGCGTTGTCGGGGTGGCCGTTGGGTCCAGCGGGTGAGGGGAGGGGATTGCATGCACTTGGCTGGTTTGGATGGGAGTCTCTTGAGCACAGTATGGTGGAGATGAGCTGATGAAGTTCAGGGGAGATGATGCGGCGAGGCTGCTGGGCGTTGGTGTTGAAGGCTGTGAGACTACGGGAAAGGTAGAAGGGTTAAGAATGGGGATCACTCCGTTTGTAGAGATGGTGGAAGCGTCAGGGACTGGTTTCAGGGGCAAACTGGTGAGCTGAATGCCTGCTGGGATGGTCAGAATCAGCTTGCCTTGCTGGACACTCAGGTAGGGGCTACCACCGAGGAGAAGGTTACCTATGAATATGAATGATAAATGATAAACTGGCAACAATCTAAACAATATAACCAGATTCAGCTGATATAAAAAGCAATGGGGCTATATCTTATAAGTGCATGCAGCAATCCAAGTTATAGATCAATACGTTTAATGAGTGTTTTACAGAATGGCATATATATATATAATATCATACAGAAACAGAACATGTTTCTGAAAGCATTATTTTCTTTTATGTTTGGTTTTTTTTCCATTGATAGCACTGCAAAACCAAACACTGTACTGATAAATATTCCTCGAATTTTCCCAGGTACATACTAACATGCTGGTAGATGCTTATATTAAACATGTCCAGTGTTGCACATAATGAGGTCAGAGGATCTGAGCAGAACCACAGGCTTCAGATAGCTTTTCATACTGTTGGCTTTGGATGATGTTATTTAGAATGGATATTCCCTCATGCGGTCATCTCAGGCACACGGCAACCTGCTGTTCAAACTTTTATTTATGAATGGATGCCAATCAGAATCAAATAGATTCAACTTTTCCCCCTATAGAGACGACATTTGAGGACCTCCCCAGTACACCCAATGATAAGCTTTGATACCTCAGTATATAATAAAGACGTAGTTTGATGACAATTAGAATAGTTTCTGGGTTTTTCCAAGGGTAGGTGGGTAGCAAAATATTAATCATAACCAATTCTGATTAAGCAAAAAATGTCAATGTCTGCTCGTCTTTGACTTGTGTGACATGTTGTTGATTATTTGCAAGACAAAACCCCCAAAAAACATGTCTGTCATTGTTTTTTCTTTCTGCACCACATAAACAATCAATGATGATCTATTAATCAATAATGAAAAAGATTTTTTTGAGTCCTAAAACATTCAAATGTCTTTGCGCACTCTTTCTGACTAACAGTAACTTCAAAATTTTCACCTTTTCTGACTGTAAATACAATCAGTTCATGTGAATATGAAAAAGAAGTCATGTCTGAGAAGCTGGAAGCAGTAACAAATACACACACATAGATATATGTATATATAATTATTAATCAATAATCAGTTAATTTTCTCTTAGTTCTGGGTGCTACATTTTTTAAATATTTAATGAATTGAGAGTACCTGGAGGGGTAGAGGGTAGCTGAATGATGCCGGAGTTTAGGAGCTGCACCGTAGGGGCCGTGCTGGCTGGAGGAGCTACGCTCTGAATGGGCCTCAGCTGGTTTAACCTGAGAGGAGCCTGTGGGACCCCTCCAGCTGCAGGAGCTGAAGTGAGGATCTGTAATGGCAGACGGGCAGAAGGGATGGAGATAGAAGGACTGGCAGGTACCACCTGTGGGAAAGAGATGGTGGAGGAAGTTTGGATGGAGGAGACTGGTACCAGCTGGGGCACAGAGAGTGGGACGAGCTGTGCCGGTGTGCCACCTTTGGCCTGGGGGACTGGGACGACTTGTGTTGGGGAAGAGATGGAAATAACCTGCGGTGTCTGGATTTTGCTGGGTGTACAGTTTGTGGTCTGCTCCCCCAGTTGTTGCATCACGTGCTGGGGGAGCTGGCTGTTGTTGAGCGGTGAGATGGAAACTATGGTTGTGGCACCTTCAGACATAGCTGCCGAGGCTTCCTGTTGCTGCTGTGCCAGTCTGTTTCCTGTGTTCAGAGTCTGGGGGCTTTGAAATTGAGGCGCTGGTGAGGTGAGGGGGGATACTGGGACCAGCTGAGGGCACTGGGATACCTGGGCTCCCGAAGAGTGCTGAACCAGGTGAGATACTGGTATACCCTGGATGGAAGGCACAACCTGGGGCAGAGAGAAAACCTGAGGGGTGCAGTTGCTGGTTGAAATCACAGAGCTAGGAGGGTTGAGGCTGGTAGAGGGAGCAGTAGCAGAGATGCTATACTCCCCTTGCTCCCCTGCAGAACTGGAGACAAGCATGCCTGCAGATGACAGAGACGCTGGGAGGGGGAGGGAGTCCTGGCGTTGGTGGTTTTGTGTTAAAACTAGTGAAGAGAGGCTGGTTGGTGAGGAAGAGGAAGAAGAGGATGATACCGTCTGGCTGCTGCCCTCTGATTCGGAAACACTGATGAAGCCCATTGCACTGTCACTCTCGGTCTTGGTTTGCAGGGGAAGAGAAATGATGGGGTTCGAGACAGGCGTGACGTTAGTATTAAGAACAACTGCTGGAACGCCGCTCGGCTTGGCCTCCATTTCTGAAACTTCCTGCTCCACCCCAGAAACAGCTTGCTGTGGCTGCTGCACACCAACTCCAGATTTGGTTATTACTTGAGCCCCGTTCAGTATTAAAGGAGAGCTGGTTCCAACAGGACTCAGTGTGACGGTCTGGCAATCACCTAAATTTATCCCATTAATTATAACACCAGCACCACTGCTGGAGATCAGGGAGTTGCCATTGAGCAGAGAGGCGGTGAGGAAGCCGCTGGACCCGTTGAGGATGAGCTGGCCTCCAGTGCTGGACGGGACCGCAGAGACAGAGATGATGGAAGCTGTGGAGCCGGCAGCCTCGTCTGGTTTGTCGAGAGTGTCGTCCATCGCACCCGCCTCATCCTCAGTGCTGTGGTTCCCATCGGACTCACTGAAGTGGTCAAATATAAAGGACAGAAGCACACACAGACAAATGAGTTTTTAATGTTACAAGAAATGAACGAAAATACACAATTAGATCAACTCACAAATAAAACAAAACCTTAAGACTGAAAAATGTTTGATTCAAAAAGTAGCTACTTGTAAGACTGCAGCTAATAATTATATATTCATTATTTTTATAAAATTCAGCCCACGATTTTCAGTCTAACCAAAAAGAGGAAAAAGCCTCAACTCTTTTATAACAGAATTTAAAGTCAGTGAATATGTGTCTGTTTGGAAAGAGCTCAAATTATTAATCAATAATCAGACTTGCTGTTGGTTAATTTTCTGTTAAACTAACTAGGTAAATAATTAACTAAGCAGCCAGATAAAGAGGCAAACACTCCTCTCCAGCACCAGAGGCAAGGAGTGTGATTCCCCCTGAATTTTGAACCCACAGTCCACCGCCCAAGAGGAGAGGTGTGCACATCAGGATAACCCGCAATATCCAGAATCTAATTCACTGCTGCCCCATAATGGACTGGTTCTCATAGCACTCTTCTACTTAAGCGCTGTTTTTTTTTTTAAAGTTGTTTCTATCCAACTTCACACACATTCATACTGCGATGGATGCATCTGAGAGCAACTTGGGGTTAATATCTTGCCCAAGGATATTTGGCATGCAGACGGGAGTAGACGAGGAGTGAACCACCAACCTTCCGATTAGCAGGTGACCTGCTACAACAATAGAGAGAAAACCCCAAGAATCAGACAACCCTCTATGAGCACTTGGTGACAGTGGGAAGGAAAAACTCCCTTTTAACAGGAAGAAACCTCCGGCAGAATCAGGCTCAGGGAGTGACGGCCATCTGCCACAACTTTGTGGTGAGAGAAGACAGGACAGAAGGCACACTATGGAAACAGCCAAAGATTAAAAATAACCAGTAATTAAATGCAGAGTGAAGAAGAAACGCTCAGTGCAGCCCAAGATTATTGCAGTGCAACTAAGGGAGGATTCACAATCACCTGAGCCAGCCCTAACTATGTGCTTCATCAACAAGGAAAGTTTCAAGCCTACTTTTAAAAATAGAAGAGGGGCCTCCACATCAGCACCGGGGTAGGAGTGTAAAAGAAGTCGAAACAGGAAAGAGAGAAATCCCAAAGTCTTCTTCAGAAAGTTTCATCTGTCTCAGCTGCTGGAGCATCTCCCTCTCTGTAATGTGGGAGTTTCTGAGCTCCTGCACCAGTACGTCACTGAACACAGTTCAGAGGTGCCCGACAAGCAGAAACGACACCAGGACGTGGCAGTTGTGATGTCACTTTTGGCGCGTGCTGCAATTTGTTGTGGTGCCAACGGCGAGTATAAACCGGCTATTAAGGGACTTAGGATGAATCTCATCCACCCTCCAGGGCCAGGCCGCTAGAGACTAATCAACTATTCATTACAACTATAAATAAATAAATAGATGTATTTGTCCCCACGGGGAAGTCACCTGACATTTGCAGACACCTCAAATAAAACCATCCCATCAACATAAGACAAGCACACGTTAAACACTCTTTCACTCTTCCTGTAGCGTAGGGATGACTTTGGCCACACGAACTGAGCAGGCTGTGTGTTGCTCATGTTCAGACGTTTGATGGCTCGAGGAATAAAAGATAGGATCGACCATTTGTGAACAAGACGGGACAATGACGCCATGCAGATGGTAAAAAAAAAAATCTAATTTAAGCTCTGTGTATATAATATTACAGGATTCAAATCTATTAGACTGAGCAAGCAACCTTCATCGTACCAAGTAACACTCTCTTTTCTTCTAACTGCACTCTGCTGTTTCCATTACCATCGTGTGAAACTTTAAATGTGATATAAATGCATTTAAGATTCAATATTACTAGAATACTAAAAAAACAACAACAAAGCAAACCACTTTCCAAGAGCACATCCAATCAGCAATATACTGTCACTCTTAAATATGTTAAATATTTCTAATTCAAAACTAGGATGCCTGCAAATTTTAAAATTTGCCTCAGCAGGATGTTTGATTTTAAAGGGAGAGTAGCATCCACTTTATGGTGCAGAAATCATTTTGTATCCGTCCGGAAATCCTAACATAATCAAAGCGTTCTTCTAATGCTGACGTTCTCCAACAGTTTCTGGCATGCCTCCTTTAGAAGAAGCTACTTTCAGCTGATCCCTTATTAACAAAGGGTCGCCACAGCAGGTAGCTGCACGTTTGATTTGACTGCACTGTACAGCGACTTTGTCGTTTCAACTGAGGGAATGCAGGTTAAATATTTGCGAACAGGCTCATTTACACTAATGTTTACTGGTGATCTTTGTTCCTGTGAATTAAGGCAAAAATACTTATTGGTGCTGTTTTAGAGACTTTATAATACAGTAGTCAGTTACGGACTCTAAAAACCTTTATAAATGCAACATCAGGATTATCACAAAAAGTGGGGCTCAAAGTTGCTGTATGATCACCTACCTACCTACTGACATTAATCCTAATTTTTAAGTTTTAGTGCATCAGGAGGTTCTGAGGCTTTGTTTTTTTAAGACTGACATTAATCAGACACGATGAGTTGCGTGTCCCAGTTTTAAAACGGAATCTAACCGAATCTTTTCTAAAGAAACTAAACTAAAATGAGCAAAACCTCTGTGGAAATGTAACTGAAACTAAGATGAATTGATAATAAAACTTCTAAATAAGCTGGAACATGTTCTTATCACTTGGATACATTTGGTGATATGTGGTTAATGTGTGAAAATAAAGCATCTTGGTGGCCCCAGTCTGCCAGACCGTGGGGTTTGATACAGCACAGCAAACTTATCTTTCTTATCTTTTCACAAACTTCCCCTCCCACTGCTTGCAGAAATCTTTATTTTAAAACTGTGATTTCAGCCTCCCCCCACACTCCCACCTTTGCCTTAGTTTACGCTCTTTTCCTCCCCTAACCTCTGTCACCCTGTGGCTCTGTAGGATGCGGTGCAGGGTTTCAGGAAACTTGAGCCACAGTGGGCGCCTAGATCTCACATTTCATAACAAAGCAACATGCTCTTGGTGTCAGACATGTGTGGCCTCACTGCTGTCAGAAGTCACCTCCTGTTCATCTTCCTACTTCGTGCCATTTCTGAGTTTTGCCACACTGATTTGTGCACTCCTGCAGGCAGCCCTCTGTAGGTCTGCGCGCTTTTTAATTGGTAAGCTTTTATGTGCTGCTTTCAGTGACTTTTCTGATAAGCCCTCGCTATAAAAGACAAAGTAAAGAAAAAAAGCTTCGTTCAGATAAACACAGGGCAGCTAAAAAACAGCAGCTGCTGCCGCTCAGGCTGTGACTCCTTGCTTGCTACCAAACTTAGAGCGCAAACAGAGATAAAGGCGACAGCTGGATTGTGTTTCCAGTGTTGCGGGTCTTGCCTTTTGCTGTGGGTCCCGGACGGGGTCCTGTCCCTCTGCCTGCGGTTCTTGAACCAGTTGCTGACCTGCGTGAGGGATAGCCCGGTGATTTTGGCCAGGTTTTTCTTCTCGTCCGGAGTGGGATACCTGTTGCTCTTGTAGCACTCTTTCAGGGCATTGCGGGACTTCTCTTTGAAGCAGTACACGGTCTCTTCTCCGTCCCAGATGGTTTTGGGTAGGGGGAACTTCTTTCTGAGCCGGTACTTGTCCACTGCGCCCAGGCTACGGCCCCGGGACCTCTCCGCCTCCTTGTAGCGGGCTTTGAGGTACAGGTCCTGCAGGAACCCGTGGTTAGACGGGTGGAAGTTGTGGCTTTCCAGGATGGCGTACAGCTCCTTGAATTCCTCCCGGTGGAAAGCCACCAGTGCCTGGGCCTTTAGCAGGGTCTCGTTGCCACGTAGCAGCTCGGACGAAGGAGGTATAGTGGAGAGAAATCTCCACAGGCGATCCACATTGCCCGCCTGCAGAAGGGCCTCGCACAGACATGAGACCTGGTCAGTGGAAAAACTCAGCGCCGACTTTTGGAAACTTTGGAGCAGTTGTTCCGAAATTTGGAGCGGATCTTTCTCTTCTTTGGTCTCCGACCCCGCTGGCTCCCCTGTGCTGTTCTCAGATTGTTCTGTGGACTCCAAAGACAAGGAAGCCATTTTCACTTTAACTTTTTTTTCCACCCGTAGTTCCTCCTCCTCCTCCTCCTCGCTCCCTCCCTCTGCAGCGCCGTCCTCTCTCCCATCCTCCAAACCGCGAGCGTGCTCGATGAACAACGGCGGCCACGCCCCTTTGTTCCTCAAGCCGCACAGACATCGGAGGGAAAGCAAGAGCGGTTGCTTCTGATTATCAAATAATCCGATGCAAAGACTGATACGGAGCATTTACATAATTTATTTTTTAATGAAGCAAAGGTAATTAGAAAGCTTTGCTTTTGGATATCTGACATTTTTAAGACATCCCGGTAAATTTCTAGGAGGTAAATTAGGCTTTTATTTTGGAGAAGAAATCTCACATAGAGCTTTTATTTTGGAAACCCCCCCAAAAAACATATCCCCCATAGCGTCCAATAACTAGCTTGAGTATTTAATTTGGAAAAATGAAACTTTAAAGCAGGGGCGAAACTGGGACTGTTGAAGGGGGCCACGCGAATAAGCAACCCTCCACAACAGTCCCAGTTTCTCGTGTGGCCCCTTTGGATTCTGAATTGCAGGCCTCTCCTTGTAAATATGTCAAACTCTAAGTGAGAATTTAAACACTCACAAATGTATATGTAAAATGTTTAATACTACATTTTTTTTTCTTACTGCCTTGTAATAGTAAATACTTTATAAATGTACTTTGAGTCCCGAAGTTCTCATTTAGTCAAGTCAAGTCAAGTGGCTTTATTGTCATTTCAACCATGTGTACAGTACACAGTGAAACGAGACAACGGTCCTCCAAGACCACAGTGCTACATATAGCATATAACAGACAATCAACACAGGACTACATAAAGTGCAATGCGCAAAAATTGCAACAAAACAAAACAAAGACAGTACCACACCAGACAGAACAGAACGATGCAGACACAACACTGCAATAGAAATGTGCAAAAGACTGAATATTGTGCAAAAAGTCACTTGGTGTGTGTGTGTGTGTGTGTGTGTGTGTGTGTGTGTGTGTGTGTGTGTGTGTGTGTGTGCGCGCGTGCTACATAATAGTTTAACATTTATGTTGTTCAGCACCTATTCAATGGTTTAGTATTTTGGAGTTAAGAATGTCATATTTTCATGTATAACCTCCAATAATGTCCAAAAAAAAATATAAACAAACAAACAAACAAAACACTAAACTGTCCCTTTCTTATCATTTTGAATTACATTCAATATTATTGCTGAAGCTACACTGTAAACAATATTTAATATCATAGTTGAAGTGCAACAAATAATAGCTACATTATGTAGGCTGCTGTAAAATAAAAATATATAATAATAATATCTGTGTAAATGAACCTGCTATAATCTGCTGAATATATGTGATTATTCTGATTAATAACAGATTACCTGTTAGAAGTCATTCTTGGCCAGCCTTTAGTGATGCTTTTATTCAAGGGCAATGCTGGTTGCATGTGTTTTATGTGTGTGGTGCATCGTGTATGGCCATGTTTCCCTGTTTGTTCAGGCTGAACATGCTGTCATCACTCTTCTGTGTGCCTGAGGTGGTTGCCTAATGCAAATACTCTCAATATAAACGCATGCGTGTAGGCACACACAAACGTGTTTAAATGCAACTGTAACAGGGTCATAAATCACATTGTTATAATTACCCAAAATGTGTTCTAAACCCCCAAACCGTTCCTTTTATACCGGACTTTTAGGACCTCCAAGCCTGTAGTTATGTTCATTATCAGATAGAGCCCCTCCTCATTCTTTTCTTCTTCTTCTTTGGTGCAATCCTATAAATACAGTGTACCCCTTTTGCCTCTCCCCTTTTCTACAATTCCCCTGTGGGAGAGGTGGGTGTCATTTCTTTCCAACACTTTAAAACACACATATAATGCATATTTAGCCACCTGGATGTTTCTGATTGCGATTTTAGTTCAATTATTGTCATTATTAAGCCTGTTTTTGTTAGATGTTATAAGTGTGTAGTATGTGTGTATCATAAATGTGTTTTAGGCGCCATAAATGCTAGCATGAATATATACTCCTTGCTAGCTTGGACGTTGTGGTGGGTTGAGCTAACTCTCTTCCCCACTGTTTGTATTCTTTTACCTTTTTTATCAGGTATGTCGGATTTCATGTTGTTGTTTTTGTTTTATCTTATGTCGAATATGTTACGTGTAAATGCATACTTTATGTTTAATGTAAAAATAAATGCCGCGCCCTTTTCTACCTGCGTGCGCTAGTACCTCTTGCCACGAGTTCCCAGAATCCTTTGCGGTTTTACCCCTGAATGACGTCACATTTTCAATCTCTATTCCCCTGTGGGAGAGGAGCTGGGGTGGGCAAATTATTTACTTGGAGGTCTTTCTTTCTTTTACCTTTTTTATCCGACACAACGCAGAATCACACCGGTTACACTACATGTTTCATGTGTTCTCTCAGTACAAACGCATGCGTGTAGGCACACACAAACATGTTTCATGTGTTCTGAGTTTTTACAAAAGATATCTTATTAAACTGACAGAACAAAGACCCATTTAGACTGCTACGCTGTATGTGACACACTATTTCAGTTATTGAAGCTGAAAGGTTGCGTATTTACAGGTCTTGTACCCAAGCTCAAAGATGTGTCAAACAGAGAAAGAAGCCCAGTGTATTTTATAATATGACTTGCAAATGAGCTATGAATGAGACCATGCTGCATCTCCATTAACAACCACAGGCATGTAAATCCTCACTGTGGTGCTGTAGGCTTGTGTCATCCCCCCCCCTTATGTTTTCTTGAGGTTCTCAGCTTTTTTGACACTTCTGTTTTCTGTCTGTGCTTTAATTTACTCACCACATATCTGGGTTTTATCAGGGGAGATTTCTTTGTTAGTCGACCAAGTATGAAATAGCAATAGGGTAAAAATTGTATAATAGAGCGTAGTGCTTATAATCAAACTCTACGAATACTCTGTCTTAAAAAAATATTTTAAAACAAATCCATAATAAAGAGAAAGTTTCCAGCTTAGTCTTCTACATAGTTTATTTTGGACTTCAGCGCCACTATGTGGTTATTTCTACGGTCGCATTTACTCCTGACGAATGATTGGCCACCATTTGTGCCAATCTAGCGGTCAATAGGCGGGTCTTGAGGGTCTGTTTCTTCGTATCGTAAAGCTATTGGTTAAAATTTCTCCTTCCTACGTTGTGATTGGCCGTGTTCCAGTTTGGAGGCGGGTGGAACCTTCCAGAGTTGGGCGTAGCAGGAATTGAGGTTATAATTTTCTGGCAAACCCACAGATCTAGGCTACATGCACCATTTTCACTGCTATTATAATCAAGTAGTCATGAATACTTCCGGTTAATTGTAGATACAAAGATCAAAGGCCTTTTCAGCACCATCGAGGAAAATATACATAATTTGTAAGTAACTATGGCAACCTTGCCGTCTGTCTCAGGGTCCCGAGTGAGTCCAACGTGACTCTGCTAGCCGCCCAGTGGCTAACGTAGCTAGCTACTCTAAACTACACAGCTAAAGAATGGTTATTTAAAATTATACGATCACAGCTAATATGACGAATAAACACGAGAGACCAAGCATATACGTAAAATTTAACTTCAGACAGGATTAATATCAGAGAAGGGCTTAAGTAGCTACTATCGGTGGAAAAGGAGCAGTTTTTTGGAAGTCTTTGTGGTTGTTTGACTATTGACTTAAATTTGTTTGCAGCTATGAGATGGCGTATGAGCTTCAGTCCCGTTGGCTGAATGGGTCACGTTATTTTTTATTCCTGTTTTCAGTGTTTGATTAATACCCGAGTCCAAGGAGACAGGAAAATGGACAGCGGAGTGACAGTAATAACCAATCCCACGGTGAATGTGCGCTTAACAAGCACCATCTCCTCCTTCGAGGTGCAGCGCAGGTTCAACAGAGGGATCAGTATAGCAGAACTGAAGGTGAGACAGCATACAGCGCACCACTAAAACCCTCAAGGATGGGTCTGTTGTTGGGTTTTCTCTTTGTTAACATATCTGTTGATATTGAAATGACACATTCAATTGATAACGTCACCTCTTTTGTGTTACATGAACTATTTGCAACGTTGCATTCAGGGAAAGTTGGAGATGATTGTGGGTGCACCGGCCTCCTGCATGGACCTGGAGTTATTCAGCATATCTGACAAGTTCCTGCAAAAAATGAATGAGAATGAAGCTCTGCTAGGATCGTATCCTGTGGATGACGACTGCAGAATACACGTATGTCCCAGCTCTGTTGGGAGCTTCTTGTAATACTGTGGCTCAGATCACTGTGATGTTGGAGTAAATACAGGTTGAGACAGGTTTTTAGTTTATTTCACTTGAATTGAACGTGCTATCTGTCAAAGTTACTTTCACAGAGAGAGACATAATGACATATGCTGGCTGAATGATCAGCTTTAAATGTTTACTCTGAGAGGATTTATATAAAATTTTAGAACAATAATGTGTTCACTACAAAACGTCTAACCTCAGTCAGAATTATACCACTTTGTTTTTAAGCATGTATATGAGGTCACGTAATGGATTACTGTCTGATTCTTTAATGGAGATTCAGCTGTGGTAGTGTGTGGGGAGCTCTGGACTGTCTATCTATTGTTAATGGGTCGGTGTCAAAAGTACAACTAGTCTGTAGGCCAGTCTTGATTGTGCTGCTGCTGGTCTGTTAGCCAGCCACAGAGAAGAGTGTTGCAACATACACAAAGTAGAAGGGAAACCAAGTTTTTAAAAACAATGAAAAGTATCCAACTCTTTGCATGCATCTCCTGTCCCCGATGAACTCCAATATCAGTTCCTTCCCTATTCAGGCCCATTTGTCAACAAGTCACCATTGAACTGATGTGCAGTGTCATCCACGTCAAGCACTGTGCAGTTGGGAGTTTGGGGGGACTGCACGGGAGCATGTTTGCAAACTTGTCTCTGTGGACTCTTGTAGGGAAATACCTCAGAAAGGAGATTCAACTGCAGTACAATAAATTAAGCATAATCCAGTCATCTGAAACTCATGTACTGATGTATCAAAAAAATTAGAATATCATGGAAAAGTTAATTGCTTCTGTAAATTATTTCAAAAATTAAACATCTATTATCATTACATGTAAAGAGAAACGTTTTGCTGCATTTATTTTATTTTATTATTATAATTTTGTTGATAATGGCTTGTAGCTTGTTGCAATCAGAAATCTCATATTGGAATATTTAGTTTTGAGTAGTTGATGCAAGAACTTGGGAGAGCTTCACAAGGACCAAGACTCTAGCCAGTGCACTAAGCAACGTGTTTAATGTGGACATCATTTAAAAGCCATTCGTATATACTTGGGTTATCTTTGTCTAATATAATTTGTTGATGAACGTGTAAATGTAACAAATATGCAACAAATTAAGAAAGCACTGCAAGGGTGGGATTTTTCTATATTTTTTAATTTAGACAAAAATCATTTAATTCCTACGACTA